CTGTAAGCAATAAATATTGTTTCTTTACAAATTACCCAGTTTCAGGTATTTCTGTTATAACCAACAGAAACAGACTATGACACTGTACTTCCCTGACACTAAAGTTGCCCCCTTGCCAATACACCCTGCAAAAAAGTCTCCAGAACAACCTTCCTAAAGCATTCGGCTTTAAGACAGTGAGCAGCTCTTCACTATCCAATAAAACCTAAATTCTCTGGTTTGGCAGTCAAGGTTCTCCTACAATCTAGGCCTAATTAGGCTTTACATCTGTCCTATCCCTGCAATTACTTTCTCAAATAAATCTAGTCTATGTAAACTGTTTCTCTAATGCTTTTGATCCCACTACTTATTCTAATAGTCCACAGAAATTTTATGTGTAAAGTACTCATATTTTTGAATCAATTATCTGAATGTAGATACACATTTTACCCAGGAGAAAACAGAGTTCATCACCACTAAAATCCTGATCATTTCGTCTTTCTAAAGGACTGCAAAAACATTAAAATATCAATAGTTATCCAGCTAAAAGAACTGTATTCTTCATAGTAAAAGGAAATCAAACTATGTATAATATTTTACCTTATCTCATCATTTTAATATAATTGTAATTATCATGTAAGTTAATTTTTCTATGTGGTCTTCATAATAATTATATAAGGTATCCATTTAGTATGTGTCCTAATTTAACCATTCAATAGTGTTGTAACCTTAAGTCCTCTACCCCCACAACTTCCCTCTTGCTAAATTTTTCCTATTACAACTAATATTGCAAAGAATATTGCATTCAATGTTCAAATATTTAAGTGCCTATTATGTGACAAGCCAGGTAAATAATGTTCAGTGTCCAATGAGATACACACTATCCCTTCCCAGAACAGTTAGAGAATCACATGGCAAAAGGAAGTATCATGGGCAAGGAATGGTTTAGGAATGTGATAATCAGAAAACACTTTGCAGAGAAAGGGTTGTTTAAATGGAGACCTGAAGGATGACGAGAATAAATTAAGACAAAGGGTGGTGCGGATGACTGTACCAGACAGAGAGAAGTACACATGCAATGACTCCAAAGTGAGAGAGAGCCCAGTGCTTTTTATGAACGAGCATGTCAGGTAGGAGGGAAAGGTAGGCAGGGGTCAGTTGGAAGAACTGCAGCAAGATAAATGGACTGGTTTTGTCAATGGAAAACCTGAAAGGCTTTTAGCAGGGCATGACATCAGAGTTGCATTCAGGAGGATGACTTTGCAGAAATGTCAAATCAGATCTGTATTAGTTTCTTGTGGCTGTCGTAACAATTACCACAAACCTCAAGCCAATTTCCCGTATCTTAAGTCCAAATGTTCATTGTCACCTTTTCCACTCTGTGTATGGGCATGTGTGTGTGTGAAGTGTCCCTTTATCGCTCTTTTATATGGACACTTGTGACAGCACTTACTGATCACTGGGATAATCCAGGATTATTGCCTTATCTCAAGGTCTTTAACTTTAAATCACATCTGCAAAGACCCTTTATTCAAATAAGGTAACATTCATAGGTTCCAGAGATTAGGAACCTGGTATCTTTGGGGTCACCACTCAACCCACTACAAGATCCTCTGCACATTTTTAGATTTTTTCCTTTCTATTATTTAGTTGTTAAGTTCTTTATATACTGTATATACCAGTTTCTTATTGAATTTGTGATTTATAAGTTTTTTCTTCCATAGTGTGGGTTGTCTTTTCACTTTCTTGATGGTATCCTTTAAAGTACAAAAGTTTAAATTTTGATATTTCGATGATATTCAATTTATCTATTTTTTTTCTTTTGGTGTAGTATCTAAGAAACCATTGCCTAATCAAAGGTGACACAGACGTATGTCTGTGCTTTCTTGTAAGCATTTTATAGTTTTAGTTCTTACATTGAGGTCTGTGATCCATTTTCAGTTTTTTTTTTTTATTGAGGTGAAATTCACATAAAAAGAACCATTTTAAAGTATACTATTTCGTGGCATTTAGTACATTCACAATGTTGTACAACCACCACTTCTATCTAGTTCCAAAACATTTTTATAACTCCAAAAAAAAACCCCTGTACCCATTAAGCAGTCACTCCCATTCCCTCACTCTCACTCCCCTGCAGCCCCTGGCAAAAACCAATTTGGTTTTTGTCCCTATAAATTTACCTATTCTGGATATTTCATAAAAATGAAAGAATATGTGACCTTTTGTGTCTAGCTTCTTTCACCTGGCATAATGTTTTGAAGTTCATACATGTTATAGCATATATCAGTGCTTCATTCCTTTTTATGTCTGGATAATATTACATTGTGTGACATGCCATTCTGTTTATCCATTTATCACTTAATGGACATTTCTGTTATTTCTACCTTCTGGCTATTGTGAATAGTGCTGCTAAAAAACACTCATGTATAACTATTTAAGTATTTGCTTTGATTACTTTTGAGCATATACGCAAGAGTGAAATTGCAGGGTTATCTAATAATTTTATGTTAACTTTTTGAGGAACTGTCAAACTGTTTTCCACAGCAGCTGCACAATTTTAGATTTTTACCAGCAATGTACAAAGTTTCCAATTTCTTTTTTTTTTCCTTTTTGTCTTTTTTTTACTGACCGGTAACGGGATCGCAACCCTCAGTGTTGCGCCCGTACCGGGGACTGGCAACGGGATCGCAACTCTCGGTGCTGCACCCGCACCACGCTCAGCCAGTGAGCGGGAACTGGTCTCCACATGGGATCCAAACCCTCAGCGGGAGCGCCGCCGCACTCCCAAGCGGCACACTCTCCCGTGCGCCACCGGGCCGGCCCCAAGGTTTCCAATTTCTGCACAATACTTGTTATGTTCTGTTATTTTGATTACAGCCATCCCATTGGGTGTGAGGTGGTATCTCACTGTGGTTTTGATGTGCATTTCCCTAGTGACTAGTGGTACTGAACATCTCTTTATGTGCTTATTGGCCATTTGTATATCTTTGAAGAAACATCTATTCAAGTCGTTTGCCTATTTTAAAATTGTTTATCTTTTTCTTGTTGTTACAAGAGTTCTTCATAGGAGCGTACTTCAAAATGTTCATGGAGAGATTTGTACTATATTTTAATTCTATTTTTCCATGAACTTTTTGAAGTCCCCTCACATATATTTTGGATGGTAGACCCTTACCAAGTATATAATTTGCAAAAATTTTCTTTCATTCTGTAGGTTGTCTTTGGACTTTCTTGATAATGTCCTGTGATACACAAAAGTTATTAATTTTGATGAAATCCAATTGATCTATTTTTTATTTTTTGTTGATGCTTTATCCACTGCCAAATCTAAGGTCATAAAGATTTATCCCTAAGTTTTCTTCCAAGAGTTTTATAGTTTTAGCTCCTATATTTAGATCATTGATTCACTTGAGTTAATTTTTGTATATGGTGTGTGGTTACTGAAGTCTCTTTTATCTAAGCAGTCAGCCAGAGACTTGACAGAGATTTCCTTAAATGTATGGATCCAAAACAAAACAAAACAAACTCTCCAGGTCTTTGCAGATGGACACTGAGTTGGGGTACTCATTCAATGCTTAGCCAGGACGCCTACAACTCTGTGTTAGCCTTCACCTTCTGTTTGCATGGAGCCCAAAGATCAGCAGAAGCCCAAGCCTAGGGCTCTCTGAGGACTTTTCTAAGTATGTAAATGGTGGATTCCCCAGTACACATAGCAGCCCTTCAAAGCCCTTATTCCACCAAGTATCCT